CTCCTCACTATAGTGGCAGCACTTCTGAAGAACGGCGGTGACACAGGCTGAATTGAGGTTTACCAGCTTTTATGGCTTGCAAACAAATGATGTGAAACATCGTGCCAACATTTCTTTGTAATGTTTTAGAAGGAATTCTTTATTGGAAACCGATTGAGAGGATGGAGGATAATCATCAGCTATGGGCTAGTTAATTGTGGCTTGTATATTAGACTACTTGAGCAATTTTGAGTCAGATAACCAATTATCACCTAGAGCCTTATTCTCTTAAACGTGTCTTATAAAGCAGTGACAGCATCTGTTGGATTTTAAGGTTTAGCTGGCTCTATGGCCTTAAGACAAAATGATTAGCTTCCTGCTGAGAATAACATACACATTGTCATTCTGAACAAATATTTACAGTAGGTAGCAAGTATCCACTGGCGTGGAGCTGAATGCCTTTCAGCTGTTTAAGAGTCAGTACAACTATCACATAAACGTGGTGAGAAGTTTGACTTTTCTTGGTGAGCTGATTGAAGTGAGTGCAGATCAACCTCGGTTTCTGCTCGTAGTCCTTGTGCTGCAGCTGCTGTTGCTGTGGGGGGTTTGTCTTTCCAGTCGAGATGCAATTTAGCTGCCCTCGGCCAGCGCCGGGGCCTCCGTCTCTTAATAACTGCCACTGTTATGAAGTGTTGACAACTAATATCAAGGGATAATTCAGCCAGCATGCCCGGACCCCCCTCTGCTTTATTAAGAACCTGAATGCTTTCAATTTCCACCAGCATGCAGCGTGATTGGGTTTTATTCTCTTCCTCTCTCATTCTCTCAATGTTCATTTCATCATCTCTTTACCCTTTTTTAATATCCATACTTTTCTCCCTTTTTGTACATTTCTCCCACTTTTGCTCTCTTCATTTTACAGGGTTTTCTCCTGTTTCTTTTGTTTTTCTTTCTCTGTATCCTCACCTTTTTTATTTCATTCTCCATCCATCTCTCTCACTTGCCCTTTCTCGACATTAATGTTTTCTCTTCTCTCCTCAGCATCTGGAGGAGCTGAGAGCGGTAGCAGCGGGGAGAAGAGCCCTACCGGTGGGTCGTCAGCGTCATCTAAACGGGCTCGTACGGCGTACACCAGCGCCCAGCTGGTTGAGCTGGAGAAGGAGTTCCACTTCAACCGGTACCTGTGCCGGCCGCGCCGTGTGGAGATGGCCAACCTGCTTAACCTGTCCGAACGCCAGATCAAGATCTGGTTCCAGAACCGGCGCATGAAGTACAAGAAGGACCAGAAGTTGAAGGGCCTGAGCTCCAGCTCTGGAGGGCCTTCACCGACTGGCTCCCCACCCCTGACCATGCAGTCCTCCGCCAGCTTCCTCAACTCAATGCACCCCATGGGAGGGGGAGGAGGAGGGTCAGGCTATGACGTCCCATCTCCGCCATCCTTTGGCAAGCCCCACCAGGGAGTGTCTTACTCCATGTCCACTGCCTACTCCAATGTCCCCATGAAGGGCTGCCCCCCCCAGCAGAAGTATGGCGCCCCAGACCCGGACTACGGCGACCCTCATCCCCACCACGGCCTAGTGCAGGCCAACAACGCTGGCTATGGGACTCCCACCAACATGCAGGCCAGTCCAGTCTACGTGGGGGGTGGCAGCTATGTGGAACCCATGCCTGGCTCGGGGCCCTCTATGTATGGGCTAAACCACCTCGGCCCCACGCCACCCCACCACCAAACCATGGACTACAATGGCGCGGGGCCCATGTCGGCCGCCAACCAGCACCACGTGGGCGGAGGGGGCCCCCCGGGTCCCTGTGACCCGCCCACACACCCTACATACACCGAGCTGTCGGCGCACCACACCTCGACTCAGGGCAGAATCCAGGAAGCACCCAAGCTCACTCACCTGTAGCAGGTTTGGAACAAAAATGACAACGTAGGAAATAGTGAAGACGACACAGAACAAGTAACATGACGCGACTCACTAACAGACTAACTAACATGTGGGGACTCTACTGCTGCAACGGGACGGCAGGAGAGACAGAACGAGACAGACAGGAGCCATCCAGTGGTTTGTCCCGTGCTCTATAGCCACAAAGGGGAACAATCAGTGTTTGGTGTTGTCCAGCACCACCCTGTTTCCACTGCCTTCATCAAGTGTAGTTAATTTAATAAAAAAATCAAAGGCTGTGCCTGTTACCAAGTAGCAGTGATGGACCCAAACCATTCATGTTGTCAATAAAAGTACTGAAATCAATGATAGTTGCCAAAAATTCCAAGAATTTTTTAAGCTGGGACCAAACTTACTAACTTACTCTCCACTACTGAAATCCTCATTCAGGAGAACAGGAAACCAAAACATTAAAACATTAATCAGTTTGTTAACTTCCCATAGAAAATGGTGACTTGCTTAATAATCACAGGTTTATTTTTCATTTTAGAACTCTTGGCTACTTTTACGCATGCTTATGAGTAATTTACACTCTACTCTGAGTGTATTTCTTGGTCCCAGGGCAGCGAAGCATATTGTAGGCGTGGGAGACGAGGTGTACAGTCCAACTGTCTCCCACGTCCCCCTGGGGACAATAAATGTCAGGATGCTCGTCTTGTGGCACTGGTGCAGGGACATATCGGCAGCTGTATGGCATAACAGGGTCTATGGTGAGCACCATTGTTTGGTCAGTATTCATTAGACTGATAATCTACTGCACAGTCAGTCTGAAAACTGCAACATGGACGACTGTATTCAAACAGAGCAGATGTCAGATGGCGAAATTTCAGATCGATGATTTTGATTAAGAAAACTTCTCAGAGACCCAAAAAAACCTAAAATGAAAAAAAAATCTATCTGTATGATATGTTACATTTAAATAATTTAAATAATTGCAGCCTTATTACACTGTCACAAAAGTCTTCCTCTGTGGATTCCCAATTCATTAGTGGACTGCTAAGCTATTTTTGCGTGGGCGGAGCAAATTGGCAGCAGTAGCTCAGTTAGCAGTAGCATGTTGTAAAAAAGAAAAGCCTGTAATGGCTCTGTTAGAGCTAGTATGTGCTTTAAAATTGTTCTTTGATAATAAAATCTCCCCCCTAAGACACACACATATACAAACAGCTCTCCCGCCTGGTAAATGAAATAGTTGAGATTTTAATGGGCAGTTAACGAGGTGGTTAGATTTATGACGCTGAGCTCTCTCCCCCTCCAGGCAACACATGTTGTTGTCAGCCGAGCTGAGCTATGTGGAGGGTTCTGCCTCTCCATCAGCCCGGAGAGAGAGCGAGAGAGAGAGAACAGAAATATATGGCTGGAGCTGGCAGCACTCGTCTTCCTCTGTTCCCCTCGTTCCACGAAGCACATAAAAACCACTGGACGGTCATCTCTTCACTGTCTCTTTTTGCCTCCTGCCGTACCCGTCTCTGTCCGTCCAGACTGAATCACTACTAACCCTCTGTCTCCTGTCTGTGGCAGCAGCACATGGCTTCTGAAGGAGGCAAAATTTCCCACAATCCGCCACAGACCACCCCCCTCCCACCCCACACACACACACACACACACACACACACACACACACATCCATCACCACACATGCACCACTCAGCACCCCTCCCATCACTCTTAACAGGGTTTAAGAAGCTACAAGCTCAAAGGCTAAACTAGCTCCCATAGACACACATCTGTGCTAAGCTACGTTAGCTAATCACTCCTTTACACACACACACACACACACACACACACACACACACAGCAATGCTAAGCTAGCTTCCTTTCGTTGACACACATCTACAGCCAGGTTACACCAGCTGTTGACATCTTCAAACAAACACATGAGAGGACATGGAAGAGAAATTTTTAATGTTCTTATTTTAGCACATCATCGACACAGGGTAAATAATAAGAGTGGAGAACACTATTTATTTATGTTTGGGTAAGTCATTGCCCTCCTCTCTCTCTCTCTCTCTCTCTCTCTTCTCTCTCTCTCTCTATCACTTTGGAAGGGTTCACTTTCATTAGCGGACACCAATGCGTAAAAGTCCACATTTTATATTATTTTCTTTTGTTCTCACATATCTTGACTTTTAACGTGGATACAGGGTATATATTTGAACAAAAATGCATGTCCCAGAAATCTGAGCTGATGTGTATCGCACATTTTTGAAAACAACTGGGTTTATTTGTTTGAACCGTCAGTGAGGGGAGTCTGGGAAAACACACACACGAGACCCTTACAGACTGTTTCGGCCAAGCTGAAAACAAGCTGTGTGTGTGGCTGACCCCTGCTACACTCTCTGCTGTTCTGGAAATAAACCTGTCATATGGTTTTTAAAAGTGCAGATTTACACAAACTCGTTTCACATCTGGGCATCATTGTTGCACTTAGAGTTTACATTTTGATGGTTAAAGGTAAAAAATAATAATAAAATCTTATTTTGAAGACGGAAGGCCCTCCAATCAAAGCGTCTTTCGCCAATGTGTGTTCAAGTGAACATTCATATATAAATATTTATTTGTTATAGCCAGTTTAAAAAGACTTTCTGTTTTGTATTATTATTATTTATCCTTCATGTATTTATATCGAGAAAAAATACTGTACTTTTTTAGTATTTACCTGTTATGAAAGAAAAAAAAAACAACATTGTGTTTCTTCTTGTCCATTGTACTGAAGTTACATTTTTTTAGTTCTTGTATTTTAGAAGAAAATAAGTAGTTTTTATGTTCCTATAATGACCCTTGTACATAAATGTCTTGGCTTGTACAGGGAAAAAGGCAAGGGTGGGGATTGGTGACCCATCCGTGCATAGTCGGAAAATTTAGACAAACTATTAGCTGGAAAAAAGAACGAGTCTTTTTGGAGAAAAACAACTTCTTTCTTTGTCCTTTGTAGCTCCTTTTTCTTTCATTGTTGAGAGAGTTGTCTGTCGAACAATTCTTTAATAAAATGTTATGTTATTCAGCGCTATCGTCAGTTTTTTATGATTCTCAGGAGTGAAGAACTTGACCAGAATGCCCCATCTGAAAAGGCTCTAACACTTTGTTAGGCAGTGTTAGTGTCAGGTGGAAACCTGCCAACACCGATTCTATTGACTGTCATGGAAACATGCAAACAACCCCTGGCACTGCTGGGCTCCTCTTGGCTGCAAGCTGTGGCAAAATTCATAAACTGTGAAAATATGCAAATAATTGCACACCCTAGGATTAGAACTAAACAAACTTTTTAAAGTCAATTGAGTTCTGTGGTGGTGCATGTTGTTGTTGATTATCAACTTTGAAGGATGACATATTCTTAATTTCTTTTCAAGCTGCTAAACCTTTTAGAACCAGCAGTGAAGGCCAAAGCATGACTGCTGTTACAAGTTAACATTTTAAAGATACCAGACATCACCATTATTTCATCCAAATCCTTTCAAAGTACAATAACTGTTTAAATCTTGCACAAATCGTTTTGCTTGAAGATGTCATGTAATGTGTACAGTATGGGGACCGTGTATATTCTACCATCATGTGATGGTTGAGGACTCAAAGCGTTGTTCACAAATCCCAGATCTGATGTGACTTCTTTCAAACAGCGTGTCTCTGGTTGAGGGATGACCTGACACTGATGCCAGTATTGAATATCGGGTCAATACCTCAGGCTAAAGCGTGGCATCACTGTCAGAAAACTTTCCCAACAGTTCAATCTGAAGCCTAGAGCCACATGTAACATGTCAGAAAGAAAAAGAAAAAACATCTTCAACCTTTAGCAAAACTTTAAATCTGCCTCTAATCTCCTTTGTGCTTTACAGACTAGATGGTTACTTGTTATTTTTCTGGTCAGTGGTATTCATTTATCACCAATGATTCACCGATGTTAATGTCAGGTACTGGGCTGCATCCCGGTGAAGGTCTAAGGTTGGATCCAAGAACTATTCCTGTACTAGAACCTGATACCTGTTGCTCCTTGATTTGTTTTTTTCTTAGAGACTTCTCTCTAGGGAGGTGACTTCAGCTCCGATAACCCCAAACTATTGGTCAGTGACCAGTTCAGTAACAGTAAAAGCTCAAACTCACTCAGAACTACTCTTGATATTTTAGTGTCCATTGCACCATCACAGTATTGCATTTGACAGATTCTATTATCGAGAGACAATTTCTCCTCAAAAATAAGATTTTTATAATTTTGAAATAATGAATGCAGGTCATGATTTAAAAACTGATAAAATAGATTATTTTCAGTGTTAAGTTACTCGTTATTGGAGCGGCAAAATAGCATACATGCAACTTGGGTTCAGCCCCCCAACCCCATGCTGTTGAAGTGTCCTTGAGCAGGCTGCTGAAACCCTGTCTGACCTCTAAACTTGGATGTTTCACCTGAGAAAGACCTGTTCCTCGCCATCATTGCTCGCTTTATTAAGTTCTGTGGAAAATTGTGAGCAAGAGCTTGAGGTGTGCTTGAAAGCTCTGGAAAAATACAGTGAGTTAAAACTTTAAGTATGAGTTAGCTTCTTGTGACCAATTTATGATCCAAGACCAGAACTGGAGAAACCGAGCAGATGGTTGGAGTTATATAACACTCAAAGCTCTGGTCATTTCCTTGACAGATGTCTTGTACGGCTTGGACTTACCATGCAGAAACTCAGAGAGAGTTTGGACTCTTTTACTCTTTAGCTAATCCACTGTTTGATCATGTTAATTACTGACTGTTTTTAATAACTGACTGTTGGTTGCTGACTGCCTGGATTGATGTTTTTCTTGTTGTTTGTTTTTGAAACTTTTACTCTTAATCAGAAAGTTAATTTTCACTCTTGGGGAGGGGGGTGGGGGGAACTGGTTCCACATTTTTCAACGGATAGGAGATCAGAGACAAGTCACCTGTGACCCTAACCAGAGTGGGAACCAAAAGCAGAGATCCCCGCTCTGTCTCTTGCTAACTCTCTGTAACACACACAGGCTGATCCTTCTGCTAGCTATGTGTCCTGTGTTGATGTTTATGACTAAAAAAAGCCCCGAGGCCTGCGCCTTGGCCAGGTCACGTGGTCTCTAACCCCCCCAACCCTACCTCTCTACCTCTCCTCGCTCTCTGTAACACGCGCTTGTACTCGGAGGCCTGAGAGCAGCATAAAACTTGGAACATAAATCAGGCTCCCATAAATAATGGCCGTACTTCCCTTTACATCTCCGTTGGACTAACAGACAATAAAAACACCAATAAGCAGAGATTGGATCTAATTTATTGCCTCATAAAAACAGACGGAGAGCTGGGCTCGGCTTCAGCACGCAGTCTGCTGAGAACAGTACAGTTATATACAGTGAGACTGTAGAGCAGCTCACAGCCAGGTACACTCATCTGCCATTATAACCGCCATTTAATATGGTTACTACATTAGGCAGCAAAGAAGTTCTCTGTCAGATGTCAACAAATGTCTAGCAGTAGCTATCAATTTGACTAAACTCGAATAATAATAATAATGAAAATAACAACAACAACAACAAAAGTACTAAGAAAAATCCAGGTTATTTTTACTCAGTAGAACACAAAATAAATATATAAATAAACGAGGGGAAAACAATTCGTGAACTACATCTAGCTTTTTCTTTTCCTTTTTTTCTTTTTGTTTTAATTAATTAATTTATTTATCGTTACCGGAAACAGGTTTTGGACCAATAAAAACTCTTCTGCTAAATATCAGTAATTAGTAATAACAATTTAAATTGAATAAAGTGAAAACGTAGTTACTGGAAGGAAGAAATTAACGGTTTACCCTACCACTGTCAGTAACCCCAAAACAAAAGAACTGACTCCTGAATAGAATAAAATAAAAAATAAAATAAAATAGAATAAAATTAAAAGTCACAAATCCCCATCTTCAGTCGACAAACCACGCATCCCACGCAAAGACTTAAAAAAACGCCTCTGCTCTCCACCAAAACTCCAGAATTCCACTCGGAATTTTTTACAAAATAAAAGAAAACATATTTGAAAGAAAATCCTGACATGGTAAAAACGGGACGAAGAGGAGAGAGCAGTGTGTTGTGAAGCTGCAGCTCAGTCAGCAGTGTGTGTGAGTGCTCTGTTTGGGCTGTGTGAGCCTGTGCAGCCTCGGCCTACTCACTGCCTGCCGCTTTCTGCCGGCTCAATGGCCCTCACTCCCACACACATTTCTGCTTTTTCTGCGTCTCTTTCAGAGCCAGGGGGCCAAGCCAAATGGCATGGGAAAAACAGGGAGAAGGGGGTGCGAGCTAAATGGCTTATGTCTATTTGTCTCTGGTATCTGAGTCGGTTATTTATATATTTTCTCCCAGCAGAGGAAATATTTCTGCGTGACATGCGCGTATTTGCTGCGCGTAAAAGCGGTGTATAAAAAAACCAAACACTAAAAACATGGCGAATAATGGAGCTGAAAGGAGAGAGATATAGGGAGTAAGACTGGAGCGGTTCTTGTTATTTAGGGAGAGAGAGAGAGGGGCTGCTGTCAGGCTCTTTGCAGGGAGAGAAAGATTGATCACCGCACTTCTTTTTTTCCCACTCGGGGCTCCTCGGGCCCTCCCCAAAATATCCTCTGCTGAACTCCCGAGTTCCTGATCTTTATAAAAATCTACATGTGCGCCCTGTTGAGTCTGCAGGCCACTCAGCGCACTCTCACTTACTGTTAGCGTCCATATTATCGCTGCTCTATTCTTATTTTTAATATTAGGAGGAACGGGAGGCCTGCGCTCTCCCCTCCTGTCTGTTTCCAGTTGCACGGAGCGACCTCGCTGTGAACTCTCTCTCTCTCTCTCTCTCCCTCTCTGCGTAAACACACCGAACATTTTAACACACACACACCACACTGGAGAGAGAGAGAGAGAGAGAGAGAGAGAGAGAGAGAGAGGGGCAGCTTGAAAGAAGAATTCTGGAGCCTGTGTGCTGAGACTATTTTAGTGAGTTTATATTTAGGCAGTATTTCGGTTTGTCTCGCAGACACACGCACTGAGGAGAGATCAACCACTATTTCAGAAACAGCACAACCCCAAATACAAGTCTGTTAAATACAAAAATAAAATGTGCACTTACACACCAACAGGCTCCCTCTCTCTGATTCTCTTCACAGCTAAATCTAAGTTTCTGCCTCTCTGCTCTGATAGAAGCCAATCTGCTTCATCTCCACTACCGCTGAGTAGAAATCTTCATCATCCTCTCCTCCTGAGCTGCTGCGCCATCTAAAACCTTCTCCAAGTTTCCTGTGTGGAAGTTGGGGATTTTCAGCCTCTGTCACACTTTATAAGATTAATGAGCTGAGTGCTGTAAACAGTGCTTTTTTTCTCTCTCAAGGAGCCATATTGTAAACGGTGCTGGCTGACTCCGCTCACCTAATGTTAACCGTCATTACATCACCCAGAGGAAAACGAAAAAATGTCCGAGAGATGCTCTATTGTTTGTGCGTTACACCGGGCCGGGATGCGCCGACCCGCCGCCCACACGGCGCACATGGCGACCGGGCCGCCTTCCCGTTTTTCTCCCCAGAACTGACCCCCCCGTTAAGACAAAACAATGGCAGCTAGCCTGTGATACAGCCCCTCGTTGCCACAGCATTTGGTGGAAAAATAATAATGCTGCTTCCCACAGCCATCGCCGCCGCCAGGCCCGGACCCCCGATTGGCTGTTTTGGGTCACATGACCAGGAATTGGCTGCAATTTCGCCCCATAGTTCTTCAGTTTAGCCTACCCAGGTCCCCATACGCTAGTAATATCACCAATATACACAATTATTATATAGCCACCGCATTTACGCCATTGCGGTCGGGAGCCTACATGCTCGTGCGTTTTTTCTTTTCGTTTTCTTTTTTTAAGAAGCCATATTGTGTTGTGTGCGTGCGCGAGCGTGCATGCGTGCGTGTATGTGTTTTGTTTTTTTTATTTTGGGGAAGGGATTGTTCGGGGGTCTCGCCTTTTGAGGGTGAAGCCGGTCTGAGGGAGCTATGAATTTTGAATTTGAGAGGGAGATCGGTTTTATAAACAGCCAGCCGTCCCTAGCAGAGTGCCTGACGTCCTTCCCCGCCGTCCTGGAGTCATTTCAAACTTCATCAATCAAGGAGTCGACAGTAATTCCGCCTCCCTTCGAGCACACCATCCCCAGCCTCAGCCCCTGCACAGCCAGCCAGCCGAGACCGACTGCTAGGAGCCAGCAGAACCGGAGAACCTCCGCCACTAATGGCCTCCAGACGCACCACCGAGGCGCCCAGCAGCCCTGTCCGCCCGGTCAGGCCCCTGCCACGGCCACGGCAGTCCCGGCCGGTCCGCTGGCCCACGAGTTCCCCTGGATGAAGGAGAAGAAGTCATCAAAGAAGTGCCCCAAGCCTGGGAGCAGCTCCAGCGGTGGCGGATCCATCATCCCCTCTGCCTCATCCTCCCCGTCGCCGACCGCCTCCGGGTACGCTTCGGCGGGCATCGAGTCGCCCACAGGTCGGTATGCTGGGATGCGGGAGCCAGTATGTGTGTATGAGTGTGTGTGGTGGGAGAGTAAGGGGTGTGCAGCCTGTGCTTTAATTTTCTGTCTGCGTCTTCATTTCATTCCCATTTCAGAAATAACCTAGCATTCATTACACACAGCATGGATGTGCTTAGATGACATTGTCTTTTTCTTCCTCAATGTGTGTGTGTATGTGTGTGTGTGTGTGTGTGTGTGTGTGTGTGTGTGCAGTGTGCTGTGATGCTGTGATGCTGTGTCAACAGGGAAGCCATATCTAGACCACTGCATTATGCTGCAGTGCTTTGCACACTCTCTCATCATCATGCATTTAAATATGCACCCATTAATATATCTGCCATTTTTAGAGGATCAGTGTGCAGAATTCAGCTTAACACTGAGTGCAGACCGTTCACACCAGAATCCTCTTAGTTCTGTATCATATAGCCCAAATTTTCTAAATGCATCTTCTTCATATGGAATTATTTATCGTGCGTAAAGACGCACAGAGGGATTTTTTTGTCTTTATCCATCGTGCAGTTGATTGCTGCTGCAGCCTGTATCATTCTGTTCACTGGGTGGTGTGATTTGATATCAGCAGCAGCATCACCCTGGTATTATATATTCATAACACAACTGAGATGGTAGCCATATTGGATGGAGGTAGGAAATATAATGGCGAGGCAAGGCGACCGGACAAAATATGTTGGGGTGGGGGTTGTGAGGGGGGGGATAAGCTCCATCCACACAGAATACAGACTGCACACAATCTCATTTTCTTGGGTTTTGGTCATTTCTGTCTTTTACACTGACCCCCATAACAATCACTCCATTTTTACAGTTTTTTTCTCCCCCTCTTTATTTCACACACAATCCCACCTCCACTCATTTTTAATGGAAATTCTTGTTTTCTCGTCTTTCTTTCCTGCACAATTTCCTGCCTTTATCGCATCCATGCAACCATTCAGGGTTTTACTTATGCTTCTGACAGATACTGCCACATTGGTTTCACATCGACATTCCCACATTTCCCTGCACATTTCCTCCCCATACCGTGATATATTTATTTTCCTCTCTTTGCATTTCTCTGATCACAGGCTGCAGCCTCTCCCAGCAGGCTTACAGAAGAGTAAAACCGGCTTTGACATTATGATCATCTGTCTTTATCTGTGTTTTTATTTTGGGATTTTTTTACCAGCACCAAATTGGTCCGCTCTTACAGTTATGGCTTTGGCTGCTACTGTAATTTGAAGGAGTATTTTTTTATGAGACTTTTTGTGTTTTATTACTGTTTTATTACAGACAGAAGAGCCGAGGGGATTTCTGCTCCATGCTGAAGCTGCTTATTTCTTGGCTGGAAATCTTTGCACGCAATAAAATTGTAGGGGTTTTACAGGGCTCTCGTGAAGTAGATTACAATTTGAAGTTTAAACGAAATATATAAAATTAAAATAAAAAATGAGAATGGCTTCAAAAGATTTTCGCGCAATAAATCATGCACATAATCTCTCTCTATCTCCCTCCTTTATTTGTCTTTGTCTCCCTACAGACCCGAGCCAGGCCAGTCTGGATGCTGGAGGAGCCGGGTCCCGCCGGCTGCGCACCGCCTACACCAACACACAGCTGCTGGAGCTGGAGAAGGAGTTCCACTTCAACAAGTACCTATGCCGGCCCAGGCGGGTGGAGATCGCAGCCCTCCTGGATCTCACCGAGAGGCAGGTCAAAGTTTGGTTCCAGAACCGGCGGATGAAACACAAGCGCCAGACTACGCCCCACCGGGACGGAGGTGGTGGAGGCGGCCATGAATCCAGCGACCCGGGCGGCTTTGAGCCGCTCGAAGGCGCCGATGCCTCATCCCCGTACTCAAGCCAGCCGCTGGAAGCATCTGGCACCGGGGAGGCTACATCGGAGAGCGAGCCGGGGAGCGGTAATCCGTCTTCGGCCGCTGCTTCCACCGCCTACGCTAATGACAGCGGGGACAATGCACAGCCCACGCCGGAGGAGGGAGGCCGTTTGAGCCGCCCCGAACGCCCACCGCAGCCGGGGCCACCTGGCTCCTCCGACGCTGCTGCTTCCCACCACTCCCCACCGGCGTTCAGCGCCACGAACTCCGCAGACAACCCGGGTCTGATGCAGCTCAGCGAGGCCGGGCCCGCAGCAGCAGCGTCCGATCCGTCATTCTCTGAGCAGCGGGAGTCCTCCATCACCTCCACCTCCTCCACTGCTCCTCCTGCCGCCTCCTCATCCGCGCTCCCCGACCTGACCTTCTTTGCCGGGGACGCCTGCCTGTCACCCAGCCTGCAGAGCTCACTGGATAGTCCGGTGGATTTCTCCGAGGAGGACTTCGACCTGTTCACAAGCACACTGTGCACCATAGACCTGCAGCACCTCAACTTCTGAGGCCGGCTGCAACCTTTAAACATGAAGGGAAACTAAAAAGGAGTGAAGGAGTGGAGGGGCACATGCAGGCCTGTGGATGAACAATCGGGCGGAGGAGACGGCACTCGGCGAGGACTCTGTTGTTTAAAAAGCATACAAGCTTCTCGGCAACATTCCTGAAACATTTCTGAATGAAAATTATGTTCTTTTTAAAATATATTTTTTCGTCTTCTTGCTGGTTTTACTTTGCGGCTGTAATGTAGTTTAAGAGAGATGCAATTCATTTTATTTTTTTAATTTTAAACATCGAAGGGAAATTGTTTTTCCACGATCGAAACGTTGTGGATTTTTTCTCTCCCCCCTTTCCCAAATTTCAGGTATTTATTGCCTTTCTTGTTTTTGATCGTTTTTGTTAAAACCCTTATCAGTATGCGTGGATTTGTGTCCTCTAGTCCATTCTGGTGCAGCTTCATGGATCCTTAATAACTTCTCAGGAACTGTTCACGGAGTCTAGGTGCAGATAGCCGGACTGCTCTTAGAAAATCTGAACTGAAGAATGAATTTCATTCTCTCTCTGAACGAGACAAGACGAGAGAGGAGCCCTGCTGATGACCCGAGTTTTAGACCCTAGTTTATTTATTGAGATTCTTTAATAGTGAAAATCCAAATTATTTATTGTACATATATTTTCATAGTGGAATAATAATAATAAAAACACACAAACATTTACGATGTGGCCCATGTCCTTTTGTTTTATAGCTATATGAATTTAAGGAGTGCTGAATATGGAATAATAATATTAAAACAAATGGTATGCTTTAAAAACATTCTTATGCGAATAACATTAATAATACAGTGCAATTTTATAATAGCCTAAATATAAACAAACTGAGCATTCAGCAGTTTATTAGTAGGATATTTTTTTTATAACTATTTGGCTGCTGTTACTTGTAATAGTGAAAATAATTTTATTTATTTCACAGTAGCCTATATATAATTTTCACAATACATTTCTCTATTGCAATTAGCCAATAATTCCCAGGTTTGTTTTTTCCATCCTTTTTAAGATACAATTTGTCATTATATAGGCTAATAAAATATTGATATCATTTATAATATTTTCATCTTCTAAAATATATTTTAATTCTGGCTCCTAGTTACAAGTTTAAATGCATGGCTCCTCCATCTAGTTTTCCCACCTTATTCAACATCAATATGTAGCCTGATATAGCCTGGTATGGCCCAGTATGGTTCAGCTCATCTGTGTTTGCACAGAGATAACCCGGGAGAAATGACTGAGAGAAAGAATGAGAGATTTTCCAGAGCAGATAAAAAGAAGAGAAACAGTCCGAGGCCACAGCAGGATCATTGTTTTCCTCTGTTAGCTTAGCACTGGTAGCCCTCTGCCCCCGAGTAGGAGCTAATGGTTAGCATAGCAGCTTTCACCATGTGAGTAAAGCAGAGTAACTACAATGTGGCCTTTTACTGAAAGTGTGTGAGAGCTAACCACAGTGCAGCACCACTCACACTCTGTTTGTAGTGTGTGAGCACAGGCGTTAACTGTTGCTTGGCACTGCACATTCCCTCCCATTATCAAGCTAAAAGGGGGACTGTGGAGTGAAGCCTGAGTTAGCATGGCTAGCTCCCTGCCATTAGTGTGTGTGGATGTGATGCTAACTAGCTGCTCCTCCTCCCACAGAGTCAAAATGGCGCTGAAGACAAAGCAGGATGTGAACAATGAGCAGTGGCAGCCATTACAGGATGACTGGCTCACTGTGACAGGCATGGTGTGTGTGTGGGTGTGTGTGTGTGTGTGTGTGTGTGTGTGTGGGAGCGAGAGAGAGAGAGAGAGAGAGTGCCTGTAATAGGCTGAGTCAAAGAGAAAAAAATATGACTTGTTTTTTTAGGCTACAGATTAAAGATTTATGTCAGATTGCTTTAGCCCATAATAATAATAATAATAATAATAATAATAATAATAATAATAATAATAATAATTCCTTTTATGATAAATATTTTTAGACAATATAAAATTGTAAAAAATTGATATTTTCAAATATAATGATTGGGGGAAATAGGAATAATGACAACGATCCAACAACAATATTTCATATCATTATATTGCAGTATTGTAGTCAATATAATGGCCTTTTGCCTAAAGCATGTCTATTGTGAAACAACTTCAAGTCTGTAAAAATGAAACAATAACCCAGTTTAGGGTCCTAACCCATAGTCTAATAAACCCTACTGGGTGTCCAACTGCAGCTCCATCACCTATCATAAGAAAAAAACATTTGCAGTTCAATCAATATTGCATAAAAGAAAAACACATAAAAAACATTAAGAGTTCAAATCCATACAGAAGAGGCTGAAGTCCTGTTGGTGCTCTCTGACTTTCTTTTTAACCACAAACAGTTCTTTATCAGGGACACACTTAAACATTTAATTTCTTACTATTTCCATAAGATCCATAAACATGTAGCAAACCATGCAAGAGAATAGCAGAGACCCACTGTATTCACTCATGATTGCATACTAATACTGTTTGATCAGTGTAGTAAAGGCAAACTAACTCTTCGCAAAGGCGATGTCTTTCCCTTTGTGCAGTAATGATAAGACATACAAACTTCACTGAGACAAACTCAACAGAGGTCCATTCATGTGAGCACAAGTTTTAAACTGTAGCTGTAGTTCCCATGGGAACCAGCAGGCACAAAACGGGACAACAACCTGGGTTTCTCCCTACAAGAAACACCACCAGAAAATACATTCTTATGGCTCCTGAGCTCCATCAGCAACACCTCTGTTCTGCAGCAGGATGTTTTATATCATTTAATCTAAATATGTTATTAATTATATTATCCAAACAGTTTATGAAGTGTTTATTGAATATCATGCCACTGAGCAACATGTGTGATTTCAGTTCTCACCTAGTCTGTAGTCTATTATGCCAAAACAGCAAAGATCACTTACTGCAGTGATGCTGTAAATATTAAGAATATACAAAGTAGAAGAGTGGTACATATGTACAAGATAAAGCTTAACAATTCTACCACTACTATTCCTAATAATAATAGGGTACTTATTATTATAATAAGAAATTGCAATGTTTTAGATAAAGAAAAATGTGTCAATGAAATCCAAATCCAGTAAAAAACAATAAACTTATATTTGAAATAAAAATGACATGACAGGAAATGTATTTAAGACATAAATTTAAAAGCAAAGATCAGGCTAATTCAGTTTTCTCAGGCAGGTCTGCTTAAGGGTCCTGCAGCAAAGACGTGATTGCCTTTAATCTTCAGTCTGGTCCTTTAGACCACAACCATGGTCATTAGAAAGTTAGATTGTAACTAAAACTAGCATGATGTTTTCCTTCTTTCTGGATCCGTCTGGTTGTAAGGTTTTGTACTAACTGAACTATAATTTTGGTTGATTCAGGCACACAATGAAAAGATGTGACAATGGCACAAATAACAGTTTGCAGGTTCCTGAAAGGTTTTTGAAATTGTAGTCACATGCACTGCCATAATGTCTTGGTCACGTAGGGGTAGTAGTTAATTTGCAGGGTAGTAAAAGTATCAAAAGAAGAAGTTGAAAATGAAAACCAATATTGTGTCTGCATACAACATGAACAGGTGGCTACATGTAGACAGAAAACAATAGTGGCCCCAGTGTAGAAGGCACCTTTTATGAACTTGAATTCCCAATAAAAGCAAAATGCTATTTCAAATATATGAATTTAATACTGCCCCTAGAATTCCACCCACTGTTTAAGACCTTCAGTTAAAATGAAATGACCAACAAAGATATCTAAAACCTGAGGATTGTCCCGTATCAGCTTGTCACTTCAAAGGAGATCCAGAGTGTGACTCTTCATGTATGTGGTTCCAGAAGTGTTTGGATCTCATCAAGACAATTTATAGTCTTTTTGCTAAGCTAAGTTAAGCTGATGGCTGCAGCTATATATTTACAGGAGAGGAATTGATCCATTTCCATCTAACTCTTGGTAAAAAATGAAAATTAGTCTATTTTCTGTATTCATCTGTAAGACTTTATGTAGGTAATATTTAGGTAGTATTCAAGTATTTAGGCTACCAATTTCACACCTTGTATAATATCCAATCTGTATGATATCTTATTTGGATCAGGAAAACGTGTTCATTCAGGTGTAAATGCCTGCTGTGTGATATTTGATTGGCCAGACCACATCTACACTTGTTCAGTATTGCATTGTGATTAGCTCACAGCCAGGTGTAAAACATTGGCCAACAAGTTGAAAGGTCATCTTCTTGAGGCATCAACAAGCAACACTAAAATCAAGTGGGTGTCTTTAAAAGCTACAGACTTTTCAGTTCTAAATGTATTGTTTTCCCCCGATCAAACACAGCATTTGAACATCAATTCCGACCGCAAGAGCATAATTGTATATTGTAAAACCAATACTATGGCCATATGGCAGGTGAGTATTGTAGAAGAGAAACTTGAAGGAAATCCCAAGTATCTATTAAAAATATTAAAACCAGCAAATATAGAACTAAACCAACATATTAACTTATAACTTATATATTAAAATGGTTTCAAATGTGGCTCTGGGTTTATCAGACTGAAGACTGGGACGTACGGCATACGCAGCAACACACACTCTCTCTGTGTCCTGTAACCATCCATCTAAGTGTATCTTGTAGACAAAGAGATTACAGCAGAGTACATCTCTATGCTGGGAGACATATCTCACCTTCTGAGTGCCTGTATGTGTGTGTGAGAGAGAGAGATTGTGTGTGTGTGTGTGTGTGTGTGTGTGTGTGTGTGTTCCAGTAATCTCTCTCTCTCCTGGCTGTCACCGCCTGTCGACCTGCTGCCATGCTGTAATATGCGGACTGCTCCTTTATCTCTTGCATCACCGTCACCATCACTGTTATGATTTCTGCCTGTGTGTGTGTACGTGTGGATGTGTGTGATATTGCATAACTCAGGCGTGATAGATCACCCACTTAGCAGCAGTGGTGAAATATGTGAGCAGTGGATTTTTATCATCCCAGGCGTCAAGAGGAAACTTTACCCTCAGACACACAGACAGTCCTGCTGCTGACACACATGGCCACCTGCAAGTCCAAGTGGTGGGTTTAAATAGGAAAAGAATAGCTGTCACTTCATGGTAGGTCTCATTAGCCTGGGAACCAGACAAATCTGTAAGCCCATGTTTTATTTGCTCTTGCAGATATGTCTGGTCCCCCTCCCATTCAGACAGATTTACACCAGTCCTGGATCTGGTCAGGCCAATCACAACCATTTAGCTAATATGTGGTGGGTTTTATACAATGACTGCAACTTCACTGGCCCTTGAGACATTTTTGTAAACAACCAAGATAGCTGCCGCTGTGTGGAACTGTTTCTGTTGACTCCACTATCACGTCAGTATTAAACAAACTGGAAGGTATGTTTTCACTAAAAGAAGAACAATCAACTTCTGACGAGATTTAGTATGTTTAATTTACCCACTACGCTACAACAAGCCCAGTTCAGACCAAAGATTTACAACAAGATAAAACCATTAAAGAACTTTGCAGGGAAAGTTGCAGCAGTGTGAGCTGGCCCGTTGCTCAGCTTGCAAATTCAGCTGGTCAAGTCAGTCACAAACTGCCAGCAGGTCGAAATGTCAAGGTTTTGGATGAAGGAAAGAATGGATCACCTTGGCAGTTTGTTTGAGGAACAGCCAGTCAGTCCGA